GTCGCGATACGTGCGCGACACGTACGCGGCAGTCGAAAAAGCGCGCCGGCGTGTGACGTTTCAGGCGACGCGCGTGCACATCTTTCGGACGCGACGCGCACGGTGTTCGCGGCGGTCGTTCGTTCGCCGGGTTCGCAGACAGGAGACGCGTAAAGCCGGTCCCCCCGGTCCCTTCGCGAACGTCGTCGGACCCGACGTTTTTCCCGGCACCGACCGATGCGCACGTGGCGCGTACCGTAGCTGCTCCGGGCCCCGCGGCGCGATGACGGTCAGCTACCAGTCCAGGGTGTCGTCGTCCACCAGCGGGGGCTTCACCAAGCTGCTGTTCCTGTGGCGCGGCAGCTTGTACCAGGTGCTGTACAGGGAGCTGCTGCTGTTCATGGTGGCGTTCGTCGTCATCAGCACGCTGTACCGGAACGCGTTGACCGAAGCGCAAAAAGAGTACGTTACAGAGTAAAAAACTACGTCTAAAAACTAAAACAAAAACGGAATCGCTCCACTCGGAGTGGTTTTATTTTTTATTTTTTTTATCCCCCCCCCCCCCCCCCCCACCCGTCCAGTGGTCGCGAGTCTCGCCCGCCCCGCCGCCGGAACGGTTCGGACACTCGCGGCGCGCGTACTTACAACCCCCGGCCGGAACACGTTTACGACAACGCGTATTACACGTGTGTACCGGGAAAAATAAACTTTAACACGCGCTATCTCGCGCCGTGCACCCAGAGTTAAATAACAATTTACGCGCTCGTACGTCGTCGACCGCGAACGGCTATGAGGTGTACCGCAACGTACGTACCAGAGCGTGTTTTAACGTGCGCGGCACTAGCGACAATCGAACGAGAAACACCCGGTCGCCCACTGGCCAACACCGTTCCCCCGTAAAGACCGAAACGAGACCAGTTGATTGTCCCAGAACGTTCCTCTGCAGCAGAACACCGCGTACGCGGAACACGACCCGGTAGACGATCACATTGAATCGCCGTCCAGCGAAAACCGCTTAAAATATTTTCCGGTACGTAGAGGCGTGAAAATCGTGAGAACGAAACGTATTCGGTTTTTCATTAACTCTACCGCTTGTCCGCGCGCTCCAGAGAAACAAAAATGCCCGCGCTTGCTAATCAACCAAATCGAATACGATGTAATAACAGTGTACCTACGGTAATTATTAGCGTACGCACCGCGTGCTCGCCGTTTTAAGTATGATGAACATGTTTTATACCGTCGGGGTGGCCGACTGCGGGCGTTTCATCAAAACGCCCAAAGCGCGGTTTATTCAAAATATGTGTACGCTATCGCGACTTTTGCAAAACTCCATTATATTACATTACAATCATTCGGACGAACTGATTCGTGAAAGCCGTTGGTCGAAGTAACGGTTTAACCGTCGAATACCGTGTAAAAACGTTATAGTGATACACCCCGTTTCGGATAATGTCAAAAAGTAAATGAGATTCGGTACCGACGGAAAAAGGTAACCCGGTGACTTTTAATTGAACGTCCGCAGTACAACACGGCCTTTGGACGTTGAAGCCGCGCCGTTAAATTCCTCACTGTTGGAAGGTCATCATGCCCACCGTGTTGTACCCGTTCGTTTGACACATGAAATGTACGTTAATGTGATTTGTAATTTTTGCGTTCTCTGCTCATCGAATAGGTTATCGTGCGTGTAATAATACACAGACATAGAACGAAACCGTCAGAGCGGGTAAAAACTTAAACCGAAATATAACAATATCTAAGGTCTGAAGCGTGTTGTTATTTTTTTTTTTTTAACTATTCACAGAGTCGCCAACAAGAAATCACTTCGTTTTGTCTATCCCTCTCGTGTTCCGTAAATTATAACGTGCTCCGCTGCGCAATACAGATGGAACTTGCACGATTCGCGATACGACGCCTAAGCCCGTTCAAGAAGATTTTCACGCGAAAAAAAACTAAAAAAAAAAAAAAAAAAAAATATTAAATAATAATAAAGCTGCGGCCTCGCAATGTGTTCGCTTACCCGGTGGTACGTACACATCACACGCTCGCGCGCAGCGGCCACCGTTACCGCGCCTACCCGCTCAATGTTTATACAACAACGATAATTTAACGCGAACAGGTATATCTGTAATATGTTACGTACAATAACATTGTCGTTGAACAAACACAGGGCGCACAAGTGTCGCGGCAGCAACGGGTGCGCGCGTATTGTTTATATGCGTAGTCGTTGTCATCGCGTTACGGCAAAAAATGATCGATAATTCTCGATCGGGTTCCGATCGTCGAACTCCGATGTCATAATATGCACGCGGTAGGGAAACACAGCCCGAACGGCACCCATTACACGGGCGCCTAAAACAATAAATATACGCGTCAAAGTATACGAATACGATCGTTTACGGAGTTTCACTGTAATTCGAACGGAAAACTGCCAGTATGATGTGCGGCCAACGAGTGACTCGTAATCGCGTGAAACGTTTATCGTCGTTTGAATTTGGTGTGCCTTCGAGTTCAACACGTTCAGCATAATATCGGTATGCGTCGGAACGCACGGGTGTTGCGCAGCTCATAACTACAATATCATACCCATACCGTGATCATACGCTTTGATATGTCATTGGCGTTTACGATCGAGCGGTTCGGATTATATTGTTGAAAAAGAAAAAAATGCGAACGCGGCCGAGATGTGTACTGCGATACCAAAAGTGCGCTTATACTACGCAATCACGAAAACTATGTACTACGGAAGTGTTTATCAATTGTTTCAAGCAAACGTATTAAAAAAGTGTGATACTTAAATAAAAAGTTTCACAGCACATCGTGGTCAATGACGGTTTAAATTTTAAATGTGCTTTATTTGAACTCTTCGACTAACCCAGGAATGCGATTCGAACATTATTCTTCTTAAAGCTCCAGTCCAATCAGCCCGAAATAATAGCGCTTTCATTATTAACTTCAATCAATATACGCCGCACCTAATGGGGGGGGGGCACTACGTGTTAGACCTATTGAGCGTGCTACACGTTAATTTGGCCTGGACCAATAAAACCGATAGTTCTACATTCATAAATCTTCATCATATAAATTATATTTTTTTTTTTTTTTTTTACCGAGAGTATTGAAATGAAATAAGTGAATACCATTTTCCCTTATTTTTCGTAATCGAAACACTCAATTTTCCTTGAAGATCAAGGAAAATTGAATGTTTGGATTTTTGTTTTTTTTTGTTTTATGAGTTTCTCATGGGTTTTGGAACGATAGTAGTAGATTCAAGCAAGATTCGAAATTTCTATCGCAACACATATGATCGACCGACACAATGTATAAATATGCATAATATGTTATATTATGACAAATAGTACCTAGGTATCTAAAATTACTAAATGGTATGTTGTGTTTGTGCGACGGCAACAAAAATATTCAGTCCCCTCGCGTGATACATATAAAATGTATAACACATAACAATGGCTTAAATTGAATTCCGTTTAAATTAAGTTTAACCATTAAAACAGCTTAACGTCCGATTAAGTATTGTTTCCTTTTTGGCAATTATTGTCGTGGAAAACGCTCCAAAACCACACTGCTAACCGTATCGCTTACTTAATGTAATTGAAAGCGCGAAAACCGATACGATACGTGAAAAATAACAACGTTTTGTAACGTGATCGTCATTTGTACAGCTGGGTTTTCACAATCGAAAAAGTCGTAATAAAATATTATTTTTCTTGTTAAAAATATCGATAAATAATTTCGAAACAAAATAATCGTATAATAGGTATCAAACCGCTGTGTATACAATATGGTTTTGTTTTATATTGTTACAACTGCATAATATAAAGAAGTATCAATTTGTATATATACTAAGTGTAACCTAATAAGGTTACCGAGTGCTATAAAACTGTTGGTTCTCCGTAATTAAATTAAAAATCAACACACGGTAAAAGATTCTCGACCCCGTTAATATAGTTATTTTATATCGTATCGAACGATTCCATGGTCCCCTAGTCGTTGCAGAGTAGATAATTTATATGTATATATATATATATATATATATATATATATATTAATCTTTTAATTATATAGACCTGGGGTCAACAACCTTTTCATAGAAAAGAGCAATTTTTTTTTTTTTGAAAAAGCAACCATGATGTTTAAAGAACCGATGCGGTGTAAACCTCTTTATTTTTAGTATTACGGCTTTTACAAACAAGAAAAAAAATCCCCGGTATTAAGAAGTATTTTAAAAAGCCAAAGGTTGTCGACCTTTGATATAGACAGTCGAAAGAATTACTCATTTTTATCTAAACGTGTTTAAAAAGTTCTATAAAAAAATTTAAATGATTTTGCATACTTTATACGTTTATGTAGTAAATTTGTATAGAATTTTAAACTACTAAAAAACCATTATGCATTTTAAATATTCATACGTTTCACTTTGTTCATAAGGTCTACTATATCATTGTGTACATTTTTGAAAAAATCTGCATACATTTTCAAAAGGTTTTTACTATTTTGAGGTATATTTGCAGTTATTGCAGCGTATTATATTGTGTTATGTGGCTTTGTGGGGCCTGTGACTGGAGGGGAGGACTTCATTCTGCATAAAGACCTAGTGATTTCTTCGTGGAGTATTTGGATTTAATTTTCAATTTTTATTCCGCTACCTAAACCCGTGCACACTTTGAGTGCGCGTCTTCTTCGCGTGTGCGCGAACAATGTACGGTTAATTCTCACTTCACGTCACTTGACATGAAACATTGCACATAATATATCATAAGTATACGTCTTTAAACGTTTTGTTTGTATCTATTGACAACCGTCGCAGCTCGTTCTTCACATTGCACAAGTATAATTTTATGCGAAATTTGGAAAGAGCAATATAACACATAATACGTGTATTTATTTATTTATTTTTTTTTTTTTTCAAACTATTCGTGACGTAAGAAATGTCACGTTTCCATTTTTACGGCCGATACTAGGAAAAAATAAATCTGTACGTTTACCGCGACGCGTGAAAAAGTTAATATTTTGCGAGAATGTCGATTACAATATTATATTACACAACAACGATAAATACATTTGCAACTTACGCACATTGGTTCTATAATTGTAATACCGCAATAAATTGTACAGAAAAAATGTTTCGACGGTGTTTTTCTCAAGTTATAATAAACTGAAGTTTTTATACTTCTAATTATCGTCGCGTAGGTCTTATATGTGTTGAAATAATACTAAATTGTTAATATTAACGATTGTGTTTTCAATTAAATAAAAAATAGTTCTAGAATCTAATTCGCGATATGCGAGCAAATAGGTAAATAATAACAATAATTAATCAAAATAGTTCTTAATTATTCTAGTGTTTATAGTTATAAGATGCAAAATATAGCTACCAAGTTTTTAACTATTAAACAATCTATATCAATTACAATAGTGAATAAAGTGCAAAAAAAATAAATTAAAAC